ATATATATATATATATATATCACGAAATAATATAAAAAATTTAAAAAAAGAATAATTGTCAAAAAGAAATATATATATATATATATATATATATATATATATATATATATATATATATATATATTTTTTTTGAACAAATTTTAAGTCAAAATGATTAAAAAATGATTAAAAAGAATGATTAATTATTTTTCCAGGAAATCAGAAATGACGAGGAAACACATTAGAATAATGAAAACAAATATATACATATATTGTTTTATATATATATATATATATATATATATATATATATATATATATATATATATATATATATATATATACAATATATATCAATCCAAATATATTATAAATAATTATCCATTCACAAATATTTAATAAAAAAAAAAAAACACTAAACTAATTTTTTTTTTTCCAGGTTTTCAGATAAGACGTTTAGCCATCTTGACACCATTTGTCGTAAGAATCACTAAAAAAACCCTTTGAGTTATTCAGCTAGAAAGAGAACAGGTTAAAATTTTTTTGTGTCAGACCCACAATGTCTTCCCAACTGAGCAATGGTGAGAGAAAAAAAAAGATCATTCAGGCCTTCAGTAATGGTACCAACATTCATAATCTGGCTTCCATCTTCAAAGTCCATTCAAGAACCATCAAGAGAACGGTGAATAAAAGTAAAAAAAAAAAAAAGGGAACAGTAGAGAGAGGAAAACTGGATCAGGAGGTCACAACAGGAAGAGGGATCATCATTTCAACTTAGAGCTAAAGAGATCAATTAGAAAAGATCCAACTCAATCCATAAGACGTTTTGCAAATGAGAGAGGAGTTTCAGCTATGACAGTCCAAAGAGCAGTGAAAAAAGACTTGAAATGAAATCGTACGTGAAACGTGTGAAGAAACACCTTGTTACTCCAGGACAGAAAGTTAGAAGGTTAGAGAGGGCGAAGATCATCTTGAATAAGTTGGAAAATGATCCTGGAAGAATATATATATATATATATATATATATATATATATATATATATATATATATATATTTGAACTTATTTCAATTCTTCATGAGCTTCCGATCCTTAGCTATGATTAATTAATGATGAATATGTCATTTTCGTTTATGATCGATTTCATCACGATTCTTCTGTTAAGCTTGGAGAGTAATTATACATTCTTAAAATATTTTTTTTATTATGCGGTGTTACATTACAACATGCACACACCCACTACAAAACTGTACATATTGTTTCAACGTTAAAAAAAATAACGTTTCATCAGTTAGGAAATTTTGATGCTACTAAAATATTTTCTTTCGAAATCCAGTTATTGAAGCATGTTTCATTTCCGTCATTAGAATGTTTCCCATAAATGGTAAAAAAAGTATTTACATGTGGAGAAAGAAAGTAAGCTAAGTGATTAGTAACAGCGAGAGGGAGAAAAGAAAAAGGTCAACCAAAGGAAATAAAGGTTTATATATATATATATATATATATATATATATATATATATATATATATATATATATATAAACCAAAGTCTGAACACTGAAATATATTACAAGCCAGAGCAGGTGCTTAATTAATTTTGTATGCTCGAGGCTAGATTCTCTAAGAATTACTGCCAATTAATTTTTGTTGTGTTTGTATTTTGGCCTAAATATTTGGTAAACTGCCACAAAGAAGGGACCATGATTTCTGCGTGCTTAACGTGAAATATTCTGAGAAAATTAATTTGAAATTAATTTGACATTAAATTAATTTAAATAATATTTGATAAAAATCAAGAGAGATTTTTATCTAAATATTTTTCTTTCATTTAATTCCGACAGAAAAAGAAAAACTAATTTACACTTGTCAGAATCTGAAAGATTTTAATTTTAAAGGTTTATTCATAATTTATTACCCGAATACGAAATTCACCCAACCGACATTAATCAAATTTTGATCTGAAATATTCCGTCTATAATTTTCATGTCATTTATCGTAATAAATGAAACACATTGACAAGATAGGCAATTACGGTTGTATATGAGCGGAAATGGCGCTGCCACTCGTATCTGAGGATGTCAGTCTACTAAGGCGGCAAGCTAATCCCTGCTGCAGAAGCCCGCACAGACACATACGTTTGTTCAACACCCACAGAGCCCACTTGTGGTTTATACTGCCATTATGTTGCAATACTTCAGTTGCAATTTCTGTGTGGGTGTGCATAATCTTGCGGGATCGACAATGACAGCACGATCAAACTCTTGGTCACGATGACTTGGCTAGCACAACCACTGACAGATCCCAAGGGTTCCATCTACCCAGTTGCGCTCAAAAGGTTTGGCTCAACACGTGGTACGGTTTTCAGACACTTTCCAGGGTGATCGACCATGGTGAGATTCGAACCCGGGTCTACAGCATTGTTAGAATGCGTAGCTTCAAAGCAATCAGCCGAGTGCCCGGGTATAAGAATAAACATTAAAATCTAAATGTCTTATCCACATAAAGGGTGGGATCGGTAAATTTCCGCCATTTTATATTTTTTCATTTCGCGCATGCGCCTTGATCGTTTTTTTTGTTTTTTGTTTTTTTTTGTCGACCGTGTAGAATATTAGGTGAGAAAAAAAGCATTATGACGAAATTCACTCTGTCAGAAATTTGGAAACGGCATGTTGTACTGCTTGGCATTCGCACCGGAAGTTCCAATATGGTCATTTCATAGTGCTTGGGTGTCAATCTGAGGAGAGTGCAGATGATTCGGAAAGGGTTTTTATTAGTGTAATGGTGATTGTTTGGATTGATAGCTAGTGATGACGAAGTTATGCCTCCATTCATCTTACAACAGAGCCTCAAATTCAACACGGAGGCCTACATCAAGTGCCTTGAGGAGTTAGTGCTCCCCTGAGTCAAGAGGTGTGCTGCTGGAAGACCCTATTTCTCGTAAGAGGAATCTGCACCATGCATTATACGCAGGAGATCCTAGTCATGGCTGTCAGACAATTTCTGCAACCACATCACCCCTTGCATCTGGTCACCTAACTCCCCAGATTGCAACCCCCTTGATTATTATGTGTGGGGGTAGTTGAGCGAGAGAGTCAACAAAATCCTTGTAACACCAAAGATGACCTGATGGCAAGGATTATGGCATCATTCACCAACATAAACAAGGCGACCATTCAGATGATTTACAGAATGGTGATTTTATTGAATAAATTTACTCTTTAGTATTTCAAAATATTTGTTTGTGTAATTTTGGTAAATATATCTGTTCAAATGAGATGTCAGTGTTATTTTCATTTTGGCGTCATTTAGACGACAATTTATCCATCACAACCTGTGTATTTTTTAAAATGACGACAATTTATCCATCGCACTCTGTCTATCTGCTAAAATGAGATGTCAGTGTCATTTTCATCCTTGCGTCATTTAGCCGACAATTTATCTATCGCAACCTGTAAATTATCGGACTATTTTACAATTCAAATTCACAAATACCTGTACAAACTACTTACATAGCGATGTAATTAAGTCGAAGTAGTTTAAATGGCTATTTTTTACTGTTTATTTTCCTCGAATTATTTTCAAACTTGTGTCAACGAATGGAGGAAAAAAATGATTTACGACATAGGAATCATCAAAACAAATTTCAAGGGTTTTCATGTGTATGAGCACCGCATGTTTAAAAGGACGCCTTAGTGAAGAGATCGGGTGAATAACCACCTCATTGTTCAAGCCTTTTAGCTGGGATGAAGGCGAAGTATCTGTTCTTTATATGGCAGAAGGTAACCGGATACCAACTCTTCGTCACTAGATTCGCGATTGCACTAAAAGAGGTTGGGCCTGTCAAATATCGGAGCTTGCGTGACTGAAGTCACGAGAAATGTATGATTTTTTTGTTGAAATTCTCAATTATATTTTAGCATATTTATTTATAATACAAAAGCACTTAGCGATGTTGAGTTAGGAACCACACAACATAGAAACCAAGTTATGTATCAACACAAATTTTAGCAGTATTTAATGCAGTCACTGTTAAGTGACTGCCGGCATACTGCTACTAGAAAATTACACACTTACATAAAACTCCATAAATACGCGACGCACACATTCACATAGGAGCAAATTCTATTTTCTATCATACTAACGCAGTTGATTCGGTTGTATGGTAAGCAAAGATAAGCAAAAATATTTTCGCAAAAAATGCTTGCAGTTCATTTCTTCCAATTTGAAAAAACTAAACTCAATAACAAAAATGTATTTAAATTTGTAGAGACGTGTTTTTGTCCATGCTACATGTACATCTCAGAATTACGCTAAAGAAACAGTGATATGTGACTCCAGTACATATTATCATTACCTACCTGGTCTCCCATGAAGAAATTGCTTCCGCCATTGCGCATGCTCAGAGTCCTCTCCATGAAGGGCATGATCCTGTTGAAGGTGTTCATGTATCTCCATTGCATGTAGTTCTGAAAAGTAAAAAAAAAAATATTTTTTTACAAGTGTAGACGGGTGTCGGTGGAATAAAAATAGTGGTTGCAGCAATAATCAGCTTTATTACATATAAAGACTGAGTGATAGTTTGTAAAAACGCTGCCAGTTGCGGAGACCAAACAGTGGATATAATCACAGCAAAGCGATCGATAATGCGTTTCCATGCCACTTAATGAGAAATGTGTATGAGGGACTAGGAGTGTATTATTTATACGCACGAATTTTTAATAATCATATCCGCTGACTTAGATTTGGGTTGATTAATTCGGTTTTCTTTCAGTTTATTAACCCTTTTCAGTTATTTAAAACCAGAAAATATTTCTAATTTGTAAGAAAGTTTTTATTAGATAATAATGGTTTTGTGATATAAATATTACTAATTAACCCATAGTTGGGGGAGAAGGGGTGAATTCGTAACTTTCCCAGGTGTATTTGAGCTTAAGTGAATATAACGAACCCAATGGGAATTGGAACTCCGCTCTCCGATTAATAATTAAGAGTCATATCCATAACACCAATCGTACATCTAAGCTTACATCACCTGGAACTCCTAAACGCTCACCCATATAGGTACTGACCAGACTCACCGTTCCTTAACTGCAGTGATCGTACGGGAAATGGTGCTTCAAAATGATGTGGCCGTAAACTCATTATACAAACCGCGCATCCAAGCTTGAACAATCAGGAATTACTCCTATACAGTGATCCAAGCCAGGAAGAACTCATTCCCCACAAAGACCATTATCCTTGGCGAGGAGAGATGAACAATTAGGTATTGTGAGGCTCACTCTTTCAAGGAGGTTCCCAACTAGCGTCCAGTTGGCAGACAAAAATAAAGTGTGTTATAACTTAATACATGCTCCCAGAGATTCACAGTATACTAATGAGGTATTTATTGAGCATAGTATCCACACTGGAATCAGCAGATAATCAGGACACGCAGAATAGACTTGAGTGGGTATCAGAATGGAATCTCCCAGGCTGTCATATAAATCACCTACCAACTTGACCAGGTTAAGATTCCTGTCAGTCAATCTCAACTTTTATAACAGTCGAGTACTGTCTGTTACTATTACCAAATTCTACACTTACTCAGTAAGACTCAACTGCTATTACAGTCGAGTATTATCGTTTGCCACTACCAAACTCTACAAATCATACATTACTTTGTATTCCCAAGACACCCACATCTTGGTACTGACCAAGCTCGACGCTGCATGATAATCGCACGGAACCAGGTGTTCCTTCGCACTCAGTAGCACTTTTGCGTCTGAGTGGCTTTATTGCCTTACATCGGTTGGAAGCATTAAACAAATACGGATACCAAAACTTCATTCATATTTATTCATAATACTAAAATTTCAATCAAATTATAATTTGATAATTTTTTATATCAACGGATATCAACATTTAAATCAAATTATAATTTGATAATTTTCATATGAAATGATATTGAAATTTCCTTCAAATAAAAATTTGATAATTTTGATGTCAAAATTTCAATCAAATTAAAATATTATAATATTGATATTAAGGATATCAAAATTTCATTCAAATTATAATGCATTTGATACGAAAACGTTGTTCGAATCCCGAGAAAACAAAATGACTTCTAACTGTCGTACAACTTGCCCTCTTTCTTCATTTCAAATTATAATCCATTCGATAAATTATTTAAATTATTCATTTAAATTATAATTCATTTGATACTAAAAATCGTTCAAATTATGAATAATACCATTTTAAAACGTAATTCTATTCATGCCGTCTTTCTTCATCATTTTAAAAATCATTTAAATGGGGTTACTGAGAAAAGATGAATGGGAAACGTCCACACTATCCACGCAATTCATCAATCAGCTATATATGTTGTTCTTAAATTGGTGTTGCCAAGAAAAAAGAAACGGACGTGGACTAATGTCATGGAAGCAACCAAACTACAACCTTTAAATAACTATTACAAATGGAAGCATGTAATTCGGGCGAATAAATACGGTTATCGACGTGATAAATAAAATCGGTAGGACGTTCGAATAGTGACCTAGATGAAAAAATAATTGATCATTTAAAAAATACTTACATCGAAGTTACTGTCATTCCTTCCCATGTCTGAGGACATCATACCGTTGTTGCCAAACTGGATAAAGAAATAAATATATTTATATATATGTATATCTATCTATATTAATGTTACTTTCCAAATTTTTACCCTAATAGAATGGGTATTTAAAAACACATAAAAAGAAAAATGGATGTGTGTTTATCTGTCAGTTCATATATTTTAATTTAATGATGAACCGATCTGTCTTAATAGATTTAAAATCTGTCGCAGAACGTTCATATCTATCTATCTATCTATCTATCTATCTATCTATCCAGTTAGCTCTTTCGCTCTCCATATATATATATATATATATATATATATATATATATATATATGTGTGTGTGTGTGTGTGTGTGTGTGTGTGTGTGTACAGAGTAAGAATATAATATAAAAGGCTTAAACACTAATATTACATGGTTATAATTTATTACATTGGAATCGTAATCACGATCCAATTTATCAGACCTACAAATTGAAAATGAAATCGGAAAATGTAACTCCGGTTATATATATATATATATATATATATATATATATATATATAACTCCGGTTATATATATATATATATATATATATATGTGTATGTATATATGTATATATATATATAATTTTCTTATATAGTATTTATATATATGGATATGAGAAAATAATATATAATTTTCATATAGATCATGAAAAGTTTAGAGGAAAGATTTATGACTCATGGAAAAACATTTAGCGTGAGGCTATTTCTTAAATTTGTTCAAATCTATCTCATTCTCTTCATATATATTTCATTTATATTCTCTTCTTGCTTATCCATACTATACAGAAATAGTTTGTGTGTTGAAAGATGTACATATGAAATGTTAAAGTGATTTGAAATAACTGACTCACCCTGAAGCGTCCGTTCTTCCAGTGAAAGTACCTCATGTAATCGTGCATGATTTCATAGAAACAGTCATTATTTACAAAGCACTCGACACTCGTCTTAGCTAATGTCTTTTAGTCTTAATGATCATTTTACTATAGCCTGTTTGCTTATTCATTTCTATAGATTGTATGTTGAAAGATGTTGATATGAAATGTTGAGTAGATTCGAAATAACTGACTCACCCTGAAGCGTCCGTTCTTCCAGTGGAAGTACCTCATGTAATCGTGCATGATTTCATAGAAGCAGTCAGCAATATAATCACACCTCATCATGTCCATGCTGTTCTTGGGGTAGAAGCCTGTGGTTATAATATAATGGTATACTTTATTTGATGATAATAAATATTTTTTTAGATATATTTGTAATTTCTGTGGTGAAATTTCGCGCATGCGCTCTTGTTTATTTTTATTTTGTCGACTGCACGCTATAGTAGGATCAGGTGGGCACCCTCTTTGCAAAAATGAACACCATGACGCAATTTCCTCCGCTAGAAATTTGGAAACGACATGCTGCCCTGCATTCGTACCGGAAGCTCGAATACGAACATTTCAGAGTGTTTGAATGTCAATGTGAGGACAGTGCAGAGGACTTAGAAAGAGTTGGATAAATTTTAATGGTGATTATAAATGTGTTTGGAGTAAATACTAGCGATTGCAACGTTATGCCTCCATTCGTTTTCCCACAAGACCTCAGACTCAATATTGAGGACTACATCAATACCTTGAGGAGGTAGTGCTGCCCTGGCTCAAGAGGATTGATGCTGGAAGACCCTATGTCAGGACTCTGCATCATGTCATACAATCAGGAAAACCATGGCTGTCAGACAATATCTGCGAGTACATCACCCCTTACATTTGGCCACCTAACTCCTGAGACTTACAACCCCTTGATTATTATGTTTGGGGCTCAGTTGAGCTACAGACCAACAAAACTCCTTGTAAAACCAAAGATGCGTATATTCGCATCCATGTGTCGTTGCGTGCGGTCGTCGTATTCAATTTTGGATTGTGTAGCGAACTTCTTTCGTACGTCGCAGTTTCAACGTAGAGACTGTTCATCAATTTTGTTCGTGGAATAATGTTTTCTCACACACGCACATATATATATATATATATATATATTAAGACATTTTTATGTTTATACATTCTTTTTATAGATACAAATATTTAAGTAAATGCTCTGTTTATAATAAACAGTATTAAACAACATTTACCGGCCTGAATGTCCGAGAAATTTTCACAGAAAATATTCGTCCTCCGACAGGATTCAAACCTACCTGTATCCTATACGGAACCGTCATTTAGCTTGACGTGCCTTTAACCAATTTGACCACAGAGAAGCGTTCGTTTAATATATATATATATATATATATATATATATAATTATAAATAATATATATATATATATATATATATATATAATTATTTATTCGAAAATTATAACATAAATGTGTTATAAAATCACTACAAAAATAGCCATTTTGTTTCAACACTTCTGGTGTCTTATCAAGTGATGGTGTTGAATGTAGAATAAAGGGTTTTAAAAGGTTCGAATTAGTTAACCACCCCTCGCAAGGGGAAGCTGGAATGACCAATAAAAATACAAGTATACGAGAATTCTAAAAACTTGACAACGAACTATGTTAACTATATAAACAAATAACTAAGGTTATAATAATTATTTAATGACTTAATGTTGTGGTTAGACTAGAATAGAATTTATTCTAACTAATAACTATTAAATTATACGATAAAATTTGAAATTAAAAAATGAAAAATTATCCATTTTAAAATGGTGTGTGTTTATAGAGGCTGCAAAAATAGGTATACAGTAAGTAATATACCAGTTTTACCAAGATTATAAGAGGAGGTTTAAGATTTCTTTAATACTAGAATATATTTAATTCATTAAAATCATTTTAACATAATTTCTTTTATAATACATTTAATATAATTTTATTTTTAAATAATAATAATAATAATAATAATTTGCACATTTAGGGACAGATATATTTATCATTATTATGTGCCGACATTTTATTTTTATTTTTTTACTGTATACCTACTTTTGCATATGTGTGTTAGGAGTGTCAGATTCTATATTTTGGTATATTTGTATTTCAGAATTCATAAAGATTCCAGAAAACCTACCGGATTCGCGGGCCAAATACCTGGCAATGGCCATGGTCTCAGGCATCCTCATGCCACCGTCCATCTCCAAGACAGGGACGCACATGCAGGGCATATCTGAAAAAGAGAAAAAGAATTATGTAACCATTTTTCACACCCGTTTCTTTCCATTTATATAATGTGTATTTATTTCTACACGAAGTATCAGAGGTTCCCAGTTTACTAGGGCGACTAGCCAATCCCTGTTGAAGACGTCTGCTCAGGTATATTTGTGTTTGTTCAACCGTAATCTAACTTTGGTTTCTATACTGAGTAGACCTTAGTTACAGTTTCTGGTAAAGAGTGCGTTATCAACAGTCTGAACAAGGCCAGCACACTCCAACCCTCAGTCCCGATGACTTATAATTTCATGCTAACCCAATCACCGACGGCTTCCGAGGTGTTCCGTCTACCCAATTTAACCCTCAAGCTTAGGTCAGCTTACTGTATTTGCGGGCCATATACTTGGCGATGACTATGGTCTCTGGCATCCTTATATCACCAGTGTGAACAAGGCCAACCCTCGGTCCTGATGACTTGCGACTTCGTGCTAGCACAACCACCAACGGGCCCCAAGGATTTCCGTCAACCCAGTTTATCTCACAAGTCTTTAGTCAGCCCGTGGTATGGTTATCAGGCACTTTACCACACGATGTGGTCGCCTCCCTCAAACCGATAATATCAAGAATTCACTTTTCTGAAAAATCGGTGATGGTGAGATTCAAACCCTGGTCTCATGGTCAGAAAGTGGATGTTATAAACACTCAGCCACGTGGCCATGACGATGTATTTAAAGTATTTGATATTGTTAGGGGAAAAGTTTTGATGTCAGACACGGAAAGGAAACTACAAGAACTCCGAATGTAGTGAGTAAAGGAAAGCGAGAACAAAGGACTAACTACCAATTTTATGAATAGAAAATGTATTGTTATCAGCAATATGAATAGTATGCTATACGACCTACCAACTGAAGATACCAAAATCAAGCAAATAAGAAAGCAAATATGGTGGTTGTTTAGACAACAATCAGTATTATAGACAAGATTACCTCTTTTTGTAAAGGTTAATGCTATCTAGCCTAATGGATTCCAGAGATATATATGCAGGCAGTGCGTTGATGACAGGCCCTCACTGGGCAGAGAGATTCTTAGACTGAAGTCAACCCCCAGTACCTAAGTCTTAAGGTGTATTTGCATTGAAAACTGTTGGCATATATGGTCTGGTGTTCCCGCTGTACATTTCGAGGTCCTCGACAAAATCCAAAGACGTGTATGCAATGTGAATGGTCCTGACCTGGCATCTTGACTCCAATCACATTCTCACAGACATGATGTAGCTTCCCCTTGACTTTTCTACAAATACTTTCATAGCAACTGCTCTGACGAGATATTTACAGTGATGCCCCAACTGCATGAATTTAAGCGAGCTACTTGGTTGGCATTGCGGTCCCACCCTTCTACTGTCGAAACAGTTAAATGTAACTGCTTCTTCTACTCCAACAGCTTCTTATCTCGCACTTCCCGACAGTGGAACTCCTTTCCTTTTATTGCTTTCCTGATAACTATAATCTTCAATAATTTAAATGTAATGTCTATCGACTTCTTGTTCTTGACCCCAGTCTTTCTCTTTATCCATTACCCCAAACACGCCACTTTACCCTTGGGTGCTAGTGTCATTCTCGCCTTGCTTGGGGTGAAATGCTTAAAAAAACTATCAAGTTGAAAGGTATCCGTCATTGGATTGTTGTTGATGATAACCGCTAGTCTTCTCGTTTAAACCCGGTATGTAATCGTACAACACCCTCCCCGGTCGTCCAAAACTTCCAACACTGCGGCTGGTTGCTGAAGTGACTGCTTCAATTTTGAGCTAACCTTATCCCACATTGTGATTTAATGTTGATCATAAGGCAGTCAAGACTGAATTGTCGCAGATATCTTCATGTTGGGCTGGTCCAAGCAGGATGAAGATGTTCAAGAAAAAAAAAGTAACACTTGAATAAATTGAACAAAAATGCTGTTTATATCAGTCACATGCAATAATTGTCAGCCCAACACATGTCTAAATCAAGTGATACTATTGTTGTTGACAGCAAAGTTTAGTTTGCTGCTTTGGTAAAGTTTTGGCACAAGGCTGAAGTCGGGGGGGCTTTTGTAGGCAGATAATCACATGGGTCTCTCTCCTGTTTCTGATCTCTGTTTCTTCTGCCTCTTTTCTATCTTCTGCCTAATCTGCTTTGTGCATTTGTATTTATGGACATTTACCCAAACTGACATGGGGGGAGCATGGTAAGGTAGGAGTATTTTGGTGAATCCCCTCCAGCTTACATCATAACTTATCTCTCCCCACCCTCTCTTTTATTATCCTCTCTCACCAACCTCTTCAGTGAGCATGGGTGGTTCCTTCATCCTCCTTGTTGTCTTACCTGCACCTGCTACCTCAACTATTTTCTGTCCAGGAAAACTCAGTTTCAAATTCAGTTGTTTACAAAATCTAGTTTTTTGCCTTCCAGTCCACATTTGCAGCAGTGTGTCAATCAACATTCCCCCCCCTAAGTCTGGGTCACTTTTTCCATTGTTCAAAACTGCTCGATATACAATGGTGGTTGTCCAAAAAAATGTGTGAATTAAATCCTCAATTCTTCCCATAGGTTTTTTGGTATTAACCCTTCTCATTTCAATGTCTCCTAGAACATAACACTTTCTTATGTTTTAACAAAACTTTCTTGTTATATTGTTAGTATATCATTTTATTGTTATGTCACATATTTAAAAATTACAGAATCTTTAGCTTTTTCCTTGATAAAAAACAAAGAACTTTTGTCATATTTTTAGCAATCAGCTTTTTGGGCTATCAAAATTCAGTTAAAAATAGTTATCAGATTCTATTTTATTCTATCTGACAAATTTTACCCACTTAGATATCACAAATTGGGCACATTTACATTGGTAGTAGCTGATAAAACCAGGGTTTAGAAATCACAATCTGCGCCTGCTACCTCAACTAATTTCTGTCCAGGGAATCACAATTCCAAATTCAGTTGTTTACAAAATCTCCTTTTTTAGCTTTCAGTTCGCATTTGCATCTGTGTGTCAATCAGCATTGCCCTCTAAGTCTCAATCACTTTTCCATTGTTCAAACTGCTCGACATGTCTAAATCGGAAGTGATACCATCGTTGTTGACTTGGAAAAGTCAAACAATGTAGACGTATTTTCTTTTGTGTCTAAAATGGTTCCTCATTGGAGGGGAAGCGATACCAGTAGATAGATAGAAAATGTAAAAATCGACGTGATTAATAAAATAGCTACGTTAAAATTCCCTACACTGAAATTATTTTATCTCTGAACTCAAAACAACTAGCGATCATTGGTCGAGAGAGAAGAATGCAATTTTATTATTAAATTGACACCGTCGACCAAGATCTCCACATATACAGATGACAAAATGCTGATAAAAGACGCAGAAAGGAAGCTGCAGGAACTCCAACAGAATGGAGTAAAGGAAAGGGAGAAGAAAGGACTAAACATTAAGTATGTATGGTTGTCATCAAATGCAGCTACGAATTGGAGGTAACAAGCCTCTAGCTAGTAAGAACATTTAAATATCAGAAAAATTCTTTCAAAAGGTAAAACTTGACCCTAAAATCCGAAGAACACACAGGGACAACATAAGATCTTTTTCAAAATTTAAACAAAGTTCAGAGATAAAGAAATAATGCATTCCAAAAGTTAAGTAGAGTATTAAGAAACATGAAGATTTCATTAGAAACAAACGAAAAATACTTAACTGAATTTCGTGATATCACCACCCCTATATGAAGTGAATGCTGGACAATATACTCACAGATGAAGAAACTTGAGCCAAGAGAAACAAAACAGAGTACAGAACTGTTACGGGATATCATTGCTCATATATGGCAGTGAATTTTGGACAATCTCCTCAAAAGATGAAGAAGAGACTTGAAGCAACAGAAACAAATAAAAAGAGTCCTGAATTGCCAGGGGATACCATTCCCCTATATGGCAGTGAATGCTTTACAATCTCCTCACTGATAATGAAGAGACTTGAAGCAACAGATACAAATAAAAGAGTCCTGTACTGCTACGTGATATTCCTCCTATATGGCAGTAAATGCTAGACAATATCTTCACAGATAAAAACGATGTTTGGGGCAACAAAAAGGTGATTCTATAGAAGGATACTGGGTGTACAAATTGTCCTCATTCAACATTTCCTTTCGATTGTCATTTTCTTTTTTAAAAAAATGGTTGTGTTGATTAAGGAAAGGCTAACGATTAATTGGTGTTTGAATATCCCTTTCACTTTTTAGCAGAAAGTTAATTCGATCAAATGGCGACGCGGGAAAGAAAGTAAAAGACCCTTTTAATAAATGAAAAAAAACAAACATCTTAAGAGATTACATTTTCCTTTTTGGCAGGTAAGTACACACATCCACACGCACGCACTCACAAGAAAAAATTTTCTATACCTAAACGAGAAACACATACAGTCGCACATACTTATCTATGTACCATTATTAATATCTGTCTTTTATATTTTATCGTATTTCACGGAGTAAACTTGAGATATTAACACTCACCCTCTACTCGGGTGAGTCACTCAATCATAGACACATCCTTCACGTACAATTCCTTTCCACTATAGGCACCGCTAAATCCATTCCTTACGATTATTATAATTTTAAATAATATAAGAGGTTGAATTTCATTTTTCATATCTATTATCTATTATCTTTCTATCTATCTATCTATCTATCTAGCCAGGTCTGTTCATTTTCTATCTATCTATCTAGCCAGGTCTGTTCATTTTCTATCTATCTATCTATCTATCTATCTATCTATCTATCTATCTATCTATCTATCTATCAGCCAGGTCTGTTCATTTCTATCTATCTATCTATCTATCTATCTATCTATCTATCTATCTATCTATCTATCAGGTCTGTTTATCCTTATATGTATCTATCTATCTATCTATCTATCTATCTATCTATCTATCTATCTATCTATCCTGGTCTATTCAGTTTCTATCTATCTATCTATCTATCTATCTATCTATCTATATCTATCTATCTATCTATCTAGCCAGGTCTGTTCATTTTCTTCTATCTATCTATCTATCTATCTATCTATCTATCTATCTATCTAGCCAGGAATGTTCATTTAAATCTATCTATCTATCTATCTATCTATCTATCTATCTATCTATCTCAGCCATGGTATATTCATTTTCTATCTATCTATCTATCTATCTATCTATCTATCTATCTATCTATCTATCCAGTTATATTCATTTTCTATCTATCTATCTATCTATCTATCTATATCTATCTATCTATCTATCTATCTAGCCAGTTCTCTTCATTTCTATTTATCTATCTATCTATCTATCTATCTATCTATCTATCTATCTATCTATCTATCTATCATCTATTCATTTTTCATCTATCTATCTATCATTATCTATCATAAAATCTATCTTTATCTAATCTATCTGTCTATCTAAATAGCCAGGTCTGTTCATTATCTATCTATCTATCTATCTTCTATCTATCTATCTATCTATCTATCTAGCCAGGTCTGTTCATTATCTATCTATATCCATTCAATCAATATCTATCTATCTCCATCTAGCCAGGTCTGTTCATTTTCTATCTAAAATATCTATCTATCTATCTATCTATCCATCTATTATCTATCTATCTATCTCATTTGGACATTCATCTATCTATCTATCTATCTATCTATCTATCTATCTATCTATCTATTATCTAGGTCTGTTCATTAAATATCTATCTTCATCTATAATATTTTTTTCATTTTATACAATCTATATATCTATTATCAAGAATCTGTTCATTTCTTATCTATATATCTAAAATCTATCTATTGTTATTTTTAGAATCTTTTCATTTCTATCTATCTACATTTTATCTATCTATTTTTCTCAGGGGTATTAATTAAATCTATCTATAAAATTATCTATCTATCTATCTATCTATCAAATTTGGTTCATGAAAAAATCTATCTATTTATCTATCTATCTATCCATCTATCATCTATCTTTTCTATCCAGGTTTGTTATTTTCTATCTATCTATCTATTCTATCTATCTATCTATTTTATATCTGAATCTATCTATCCAGGTCTGTTGTTATCTAGGAAATTATTTTTATCTATCATTTATCTATAAAAAGCCATCTATTTCTATTTTTATCTTTCTATCTATCTTCTATCTATCTATCTATCTTTGAATCTTTCTATCTTCATTTTCTATCTATCTAAATATCTATCTATCTATCTATCTATCTTTTTCATTTTTAAATCTATCTATCCATCTATCTATCTATCTATCATCTATCTATCTATCTTCTTCTTTTCTTTTCTTTTTATCTATCTATCTATTATACGAGAATATTTCTGTTAAAATCTATTTATCTAGGTTATCTATTACTTTTCCGTTTGTTAGCTAATATTAAAAAATGTGATTTATTTTTATAAATTAGGAAAAAAAATGTATTGATATAATATTTTTTTTAAAAAATCTTTTTCTGATAATTTTTTTTTCCGGTCACTTTTAAATGTTTTTTGCCTAAAATGTATTTATGATAATAAAAATAGGATTTATTTTTGAAAAATATTTTTAATTTAAAACAGTTTTGACAAGTTTTGGGGTTATTATTTGAATAAATTGGAACCCTAGTGCTTTTATTTTTTTTATCTTTGGACCTGGGAACACCAGCAATTAAGAGGAGGAGGTTTGAAAAAACCACCTGATCAGAGACCTTCTTGGACGTAACAAACAGGAAAAATTTAATTTATTTCTTTATTTTTTTTCTTTCTTTTTTCGAGAAACACTTGTCTATTGTATAGTTGTGTTTATAAATATATCTAGGTGTAGGTTATAATTACGTCCGTAGTAATGTGTCAGTTTTATCTTGTTCGGAAAATAATGTCCGATTTTAGAATCAATTTTTATTCCTGAATTAGCCAACGTAATTAATTGTATTTATAGATCTCATCTCTTATAATACAAAAACTCGTATTGAGGTAATCGATTATAGGTAGATCTAAGTCTATTATAGCGTTTTTCAACCTTTTTATCATTGTGTGACCTTTGACATAGTTTTTGTCTTAGCGAACATCTGCATAAAATTACTATATACTAATCTATGTCTTTTATATTTTTATTTTCTTTTTATCTGTTATAATATATATCTTCGTCAATCCATTATCACGAATAGGAGGTTTTTTGATGAAAGAAATTTAAGTCGGAATTTTGATACTATATAGACATCGCTAAATACATTCTCAATGTTTATTATAATTGATAATATAATTTATTATTTCCTTTTCGGGAGATATTTTTTCAGAATTTTTCATAACCGGTTGAAAAAACTGCGTTAGATGGTTACAAAAGAAAACCAAATCCTTGAGGGGAAGCAAGAGAATTATAAACATCTATTCATTCAAAGGAAAACGCGGGCACATGATCAATCCGGAAGTGACAGAATGAACCAAGCATCTTCTGAGAGCCTTTAGTGATGGATTTCATATATGAGTTTCACTTGATGTCTCAAATGGATTTGAGTACCCAAAGGCGCCCAAAGCAAGGAGACTCGTTGTCTGCGCATTGAAGAAAAAATGCTAAGATGGCCACCTTTCTTTCTTTTCTTTGCAATTCTCATATATTTGATTCTCGCTAGGAAATGCATCAACATCTCGATTTGCACAGTCGCCTTTGATTATGATTCATTTTTGCCCTGTAAATATTATTTCTGTAAGAAGAGGCAGTAAAATAACTCTTATAACCCTAAAATCAGCTTACGTACCATCGACTGCTCTATAAAGGTCATAAAATGACGTGTAAGTTCATAATATTCTAGAAGATTTCAAATGTAGAACATTTGTATCTTTAGTAATCTATGAACTATCTATCCATATATATATATATATATATATATATATATATATATATATATAAAGATTTCTCAGAATTAACGTGTAGAAAACACAATATGTATCAAGGAAAGAAAAGACAATATGAAAAATCTATAAAGAACAAACAAAATGTCGTTAGCAACTAGAAGAATTTAGAAACGCTATTGTATATTGATATGGTCAACTTAAAAATTACTTCAATCACTTTGTTTGAAGAGAATATTTTCACGTGTAGAAATATTGTTTGTATTTTTCTGTTGGCGGATTCAACCATTTTCTTTTGATTTCTTGATATACATGTTGTGTCCGTTGGCTTGGGAGAGTAGTGATTCTGTTAGAAAAGGTGATATTGGGAAAAAACCAGGTGTAGATTAATATTTGGACAATATTCAATGGCGGCACTCTCGAGGAATTTCCTTCTTTTGTGTAGTATTTATAAATTGAAAAAGTCCATACTGGACGAAAGAATTTTTTTCTATTTATTTTTTTTTATATATATATATATATATATATATATATATATATATAAATATAAATGGGGCAGGTATAGAAAAGTTAGAAATATGATTGAAATAATACATATATTAGCTGTAAACACTATAATAAGCATTCTTGAATTGATGTTTCACTGGTATTTATCGGTGGCAATAATGATTTATAATCATTTTTATTTATTTAGCATAAGTGGCAAAATCATTTATGTGAAATTTAATCTGTAGCGCTAAATCGTCTCTAATTTTTAATCACAAGTTTAGTATCAATTCATAAGTGCTTCTTCGTTGTTGAAAATATCTTCGAAGGAAAATATTCCTGAAACTAAACTAAAACTCATTCCATGGTTCAAAGAAGGGTTATCCCAAGTCAAAATTACAAGAAAAATGTAGTGAACAAGAAATTGTCTACAGACAACCATTAAAAGATATAATGAAACCAATTCTTTTAAAAATAGTGATGGTCAAAGCCCGAAAAGGTGAACAAATTCAAGGGAAGATAGACTGCTAAAGAGGGTATCTCTAGGTAATAAATAACTCTTCTAACGTGACTGCTGAATGTCAGGAGGAATGAAAATTCAAAGTGGTAAACAAAGTGAGAAGACAATATCGAATTGATTTTTTGAGTGAGAAAAATTAGAATCTGACCTCTAGTTAATAAGAAAAAGACTGTAAAGAAAAAAACAAAAAAAAATTACTATCTAAAATTAATAAGAAAACTAATTTTCATAAAAAAAAGTTTTAGAAAAATCTCTTTTCCTTGTACCAAGTTCAAGTCTAGAACCAAGCAAAAGTTGTTTGGTTGATGAAAATATAAACAGATAGAAAATGTTTACGAAAATCAGGTTTTAAAATATATTTAATTTATTGATCGATCGCTATTGTTATGGTCCGGTTCCTTGTACCACGGGTGATAGTCCAAGGTAGAACCAATAAAGAAGAACTCGAACACGGATATGGAATAACACAGATATATTACAAACAGGAATATATACAGAGAAGTAGAAGTGTTATTATGAACAATCAGGTTTAGTAGAGAGAACAATATAGTCTCGACCAGTATCACTATTCCAATGTCTTGTAGTAATTGTCTGAACGCGACTCTGTTTCGGACTGCCTCTGACTCAACTCTTGACTCGACTTGAGCTACTGACGATATTCAGTCACCCCCCCACTGGGGTATCATGTGGCACAAGGCCGGTTTTTAAACGTGGGATCTCCGAGCCCGTGGGCTCGGCCCTAAAATATGCCCATTGAACCCGTATGAACGTGTTCAGAGTCGGTTTACCTCCCCGAAAGAGAATCCACCATTCGGCGTAGCCTCCTTCGTGTTCCTCCTCGCCCGAAGGCAGAGAGTTCAACCGATCTGTCGTTCAAGACTTGAGCCACTGACAATATTCAGTCCCCCACTGGGGCAGCATGTGACACAAGATCGGTTATTTATTTGGGTTTCCCGAGACTGGGTTTTCCCAAAATATGCCCGTTTGAACCCGTATAAACGGGCCCGTTTGGGACCTCGGTTCAGGAGACAGAAAATCCGACGGAACAGTCGTTTGAACCCGACTTATAACCCGGGTTCAGGGCCCTTTTAACGTGGGCATTTCCCGAGCAATTAGGCTCGGAAAAAAATAGCCCATTTGAACCCGTATAAACGGGTTCCTGGGCCGGTTTTACCTCCCCGAAGGCCTCCGCCCTTCGTAGCCTCCTTCGGGTGTAAGAGAGTTTAACCGAACCTTTAGCGACTGACAATAAACGAGGGTGTCATGGCACAAGGCCTTTTTAACAGTTAAATTCCCGAGCCATTAGGCTCGGGCAAAAAATAGCCCATTTGAACCCGTATAAACGGGTTCTGGGCCGGTATTTACCTCCCCGAAGGAGACTCCGCCCTTCGGCGTAGCCTCCTTCGGGTTCCTTTGCCCGTAGGAAGAGAGTTTAACCGAACAGTGAAAGTGAGCGACTCCTTCCCTACTCCTGAGGCGCAGTATTTATTAAGTATGGAATAGTCCTTTATTATTATGATGGGTAAGATATATATATATATATATATATATATATATATATATATATATATGCCGTGATTATGTTATTGAACATAATTTATTTTATTACGCTTATTAATACTGTATTTTTATCAAATATAAAAGTATCCCTTGTTAAGATCCCTTGGAGTTGTTTATGTTCGTCGAAGATTTCGGGAAATATATGTTGCTCAGTGTAACTGTAAAATTTGTGGGTGAGAGCCTAATGGTTTGGGATTGCATGCCGTCTTCCTGGACAGGAAAGTTGAATCACATGTGAGGGTAGAATGAATTCCAACATTTACACAAGCATGTTAGATCAATGTTACCAACCTTCGTTAGAGAATATTTTCAATAATAACATACCAGATGGAGTAATCTTCCAACAAGGCAATGTACTATGTCACATATCCAGAGTTTCGAAGGGTTGGTGTGAAAAAAAAACGTTGCGAGGGTATTGAAGATGCCTCCTCAAACCCCTGACCTGAATCTCATTGAATATCTGTGACCATGCTTAGGTACAACAGTGAGGGTGCACAAATATTCTTCACAACGCGAATTAAAAACCAGACTTCATGAAGAATGGTTGGCAAACGAGACAACTATTTGTGCTAAGCTGGTTTCCAATATGCAAAAATGCATAAAGGCATTTATGAAAGCAAAAAAAAGCCCCGATCAAATATTAAACATAGGTTAAATTTAATTTAAAAGCTTTGTTCTTTTTCTTTAAATCATAAAATAAATGATTTTTAATTGTATTTCTAACTTTTATACACCTGCACCATAATTTTTGTTGTAACCTAGGGAATGTTACTGAATAAAATAATCACACGACGATTGGTTTATGAACGATAGTACTTAGGAAAAGAACAACGCATATAAGATTCGCCAGCCGCGCGTAGAAGTAGTAGTCAACTGCTAGAAGTGAGTCAAGTGAATTCCACAATGAATCTCTAACTGCAGGATATCTACCAACCAACTCACGCGGTCAGATGTGGCACAAGGCCGAATTTAATGTGGGATATCTGAGCCCGTAGGCTCGGCCAAAAATTACCCGTAGACACCGTATAAAACGAGGTAGGCTAGCTGTTTCCCGAGACGGGACACTGCATTTTGACATAGCCTCGGCTGGAGATCCTCACTGTCCGGAGGCAGAGAGTTTGACCTGAAAAGCTGGAGACGAATCTCTAACTGCAGGATATCTACCAAGCGACCCACGCGGTTACATGTAGCACAAGGCCGAATTTAATGTGGGGTATCCGAGCCCCTATGTTCGTCCAAAACTTCACTGTAGACCCCGTATAAAACAAGGTAGGGTAGCTGCTTCCCGAGACGAGAATCTGCCCTTTGACATAGCCTCGTCTGGTGATCCTCTCAGCTCGGAGGCAGAGAGTCTGAGCTGCACAGCTGGAGACGAATCTCCAAATGCAGGATATCTACCAAGCGACCCACGCGGTCAGAAGTGGCACAAAGGCGAATTTAATGCGGGGTATCCGATCACGTAGTCTCGTCCAAAATTTCCCCGTAGACACCGTATAAAACGAGGTAGGGTAGCTGTTTCTCGAGACGAGACTCTGTCTATTGACATAGCCTCGTCTGGGGATCCTCTCGGCTCGGAGGCAGAGAGTTTGACCAGCCCAGCTGGGGACGAATCTCCAACTTTATACCAACATACAATATTTATTCTGTATTTATGTGAATGGGAACATACCCTTATTGTCCGTAGCTATACTGCAACAATTATCTATCTACCTATCTATCTATCTATATATCTATATATATATATTTGTATACCAGATATTACAGAAAAATTGTCCAAATCGTAAAACACCATAATTATCCTTCCCGCAAATGGTTTAATATCGAAAAAAAAAAAAACACTAAACTAATTGAGTTTGTTTATTCCAAGTTCTCAGATAAGACGTTTGTACTAAGAATAACTGAAATCAGAGTTATTCAGCTAGAAAGAGAACAGGTCTAAATCATTTTGTGTCAGCTCAACTATATTTTCCCAAATGAGTAATGGTGAGAGGAAAAAGATCATTCAGGTCTTCACTAATGGTACCAACATTCATAACTTGGCTTCCATCTTCAAAGTCCATTCAAGAGCTATGAAGAGAACGGTAAATAGGTTTTAAAAAGAGGGAAGAGTAGAAAGGAAAACTGGATCAGGAGGTCACAACCAGAAAGGGATCATCGTTTCAACTTAAAAGCTAAGAAGAGCTTAAGAGATCCTATTGGAAAAGGTCAAACCCAATTCATAAGACGTTTAGCACGTGATAGAGGAGTTTCAGCTATGACAGTCCAAAAAACAATGGAAAAAGATTTGAAAATTAAATTCTACGTGAAACTTATTATTCCCCGAAAGAAAGTTAGAAGTTTAGAGAGGGCAAAGATTATCTTGAATAAGTTAGAAAATGATCGTCGAATATATATATATATATATATATATATATATATATATATATATATATATATATATGTATGCATGTATTTCAATACTTCATGCACTGCCGATCCTTAGATATGATTAATTAATAATGAACATGTCATTTTCGTTTATGATGGATTTAATCACGATACTTCTGTTAAGCTTAGAGAGTAATTGTAAATTCTTATTGCTCAAAGTAGAGTCCAATAGTGTTATATAAAACTCGTAGAATTCCAATAAGATATCTTTAATCATTTCTAAGATACAACGGTTCAGAGCTTAATGAAACAACTGTGTGAGTCTGTTCAAATCTATTTCAGCCTGTTCATATCTGTTTATCTATCTATCGATCTATCTATCGAGCTCTGCAAGATTATTTGTATCTGTGCCAGTCTGTTCATATCTATCTATCTATCTATCTATCTATCTAAGGTTGTTTATATCTATCTATATACTTATCCATCTACCAATCTCAGGATCTATCTATCTATCTATCTATCTATCTATCAACTAAGACTTTATATCTATCTATCTATCTATCTATCTATCTATCTCATACGTCTGTTTAAGAATCAATCTGATATTTACCCTTCCTGTATTTGTCCCATTCGTTGAACTCGAACCTCTTGTCCATGTACTTAATGCCGGCAGCGGCGAACATCATACGCAGGATCTCGGCACGTCCGCGGCCATTGAAGTAGTACAAAGTGTAGTTCGGCATGGTGGCTGGTAATTTGCTTCGTGTCTGGAAGAGTCACAAGAGAAAACTGAGAATATATCTGGCGCTAAACGTGAGAGCCGGAATCTCGTCTGCTTACTGACAGCTGAAAGCCTGCATTTTATACAGAATTGTGAGTCACAGAGTTGATAATTATTGAAACTCGAGGATTGGTTCGTTAGTTACAGGTTCAAGGACATTCATTCGTTTTGGTGGTGGGGGTATTTTGGTTTTTGTCCTTCTCATTGTGTGATCGGTGTAGAAAAGTGGAATATTTGACATACAAACGCTAAAGACAGACATCTTGGAACACCTTCAAAACGCGTGAAAAGTTAAGTTTTTCTCGGTATTGTAGTCAAAAACAAATCAGTGTCACTTGTTTTGTAACATTACCAAATTTAGTAATTACATTTCTTTCTTCTGATAAAGGAAACTGTAGACAAGATTTACCTTAATTAGGACATTTTAATTTTCTGGTAATTTTAATTGGGCTTCCAATAATTGCACATATGATAGCACTATCTTTTCAGTAAATCTTTCATTAATTCCTGACCACTGACAATACTCTGTTTTGCGGTGCATTTACATGTTATGGAATAGGAATGTTCCTCTACAATGTGCCGTGTCCCTGTAACACACGGACGTCCATGGTACACAACTACCCGCCCCTCCCATTTGTGTTCGATGAGTTTGAGTATAAAGTTCTCCAAGACCACATTCCTTAGTTTTGCTCAAGTAATTTCAGCTGCCTTGTTCGAATTCTTCACGATTTTCACTTTCCTTTAAATAAATCACTAGCAATATATATTATGCGTATGAAAGCCATATTCTATAAATAATGCTTGCAGGAAAGCCAGAACACTGACAATCCCTTTCTTCCTGATTTTAAATGCATTCCTATACTAAAATTATTAGCAATTCATTTACATAGGATTATAGTATATAATAGCCCTGACATTCTATCATTAATGCATTGCAATTTCCATTCATATGACCTATTCTATCAGTAATAACATTCCCTTTTCCTGATCCCTTTTTCCATTTTCAATGAATTCCTATAGTAAAATCATTAGCAATGCATTTACATTATACATATAATAGCCCTATTCTATCAGTAATGCTTGCCTTCATCCCAGTCCACTTAAAATCCTTTTGTTCCTGGTTTTCAATGAATTCCTAGAGTAAAATCATTAGCAATGCATTTCCATTATACATATAATAGCCCTATTCTATCAGTAATGCTTGCCTTCATTCCTGACCTCCTGACAATCCCTTTCTTCCTGATTTTCAATGAATTCCTATAGTAAAATCATTAACAATGCATTTCCATTATACATATAATAGTTGTCTTATTCTATCAGTAATGCTTGCCTTCATTCCTGACCACTGACAATCCCTTTCTTCCTGATTTTCAATGAATTCCTATAGTAAAATCATTAACAATGCATTTCCATTATACATATAATAGCCCTATTCTATCAGTAATGCTTTGCCTTCATTCCTGACCACTGACAATCCCTTTCTTCCTGATTTTCAATGAATTCCTATAGTAAAATCATTAATAATGCATTTCCATTATACATATAATAGCTTCTATTCTATCAGTAATGCTTTCATTCATTCCTGACCACTGACAATCTCCTGTTTGATTTTCAATGAATTCTAGATAGTAAAATCATTAACAATGCATTTCCATTATACATATAATAGCCCTATTCTATCATTAATGCTTGCCTTCATTCCTGACCACTGACAATCCCTTTCTTCCTGATTTTCAATGAATTCCTATAATAAAATCATTAACAATGCATTTCCATTATACATATAATAGCCCTATTCTATCATTAATGCTTGCCTTCATTCCTGACCACTGACAATGCCTTTCTTCCTCATTTTCAATGCATTCCGATAGTAAAACCATTATTAATGTATTTACATTATATATATAATAGCACTATTCTATAATAAATATTTTACGTCTCTTTGTATCAGCAATTCCTGACCACTGATAATCCCTTACGTCCTGCTTTTCTTCCGAAAATAAAATCATCAGCAAACAGCTTATAAGGAATGTTCTGTGAAATTTTCGACGGAATATTTTGAAGAAAATTTCTAAAAAAAAATTCAATCTTTATTCTGTTTCTTCTGGAACTTTCTCTGAAATTGAGTAAATATTTTTTTGAAGAAAGGCTTTCAAACTGATTCAACATTTGCTTCAGATAAAGAACACATTCGTCATGCCATTGTTAAAGAATTTCTTACCTGGTATTATGGGGTAGTACGTGATACAACATAGTTTTCCCGTTTCAACTACTAGTAGTTCAACTGTCGAACTCTCTGCTTCGAGCAGAGAGGAACTCGGACGAAGCTTTACCGAAGGGCAAAGCTTCCTCCGGGGAGGTAGACAGGCCCTGAACCCGTCTATACGGGTTCAAAGGGAATATTTTTGGCCAAGCCTACGAGCTCGGAGAACTGACGCTAAACCGGCCTTGTGCCATATACGACCCACGTGGGTGGGTGGGTGTTAAATATAACAGTGATCGGAACTGTTCAACTCTCTGCCTTTGGCGGAATGGCGGAAAGGAACCCGGACGAGGCTTAGCCGAAGGGCAAAGTTTCGTCCGGGGAGGTAGACAGGCCCTGAATCCGCTTATGCAGGTTCTACGGGATTATTTTTGGCCTAACCTACGAGCTCGGAGAATACACGGTAAACGGGGCATTATGCCACACATCCCAGACGACCAGGGGGTGGGGGCTGTTAAATATTAACAGTGATCTGTTAAAAAACAAAAAGACAAAAACCCGGACGAGGCTGTGCCGAAGAGCAGTTTTGTCCCGGGTTTTCGATAGACCCCAACCCGTCTATACGGGTGGGGATTTTTTGGCCGAGCCTACTGGCTCAAGTGACCCACGTTAAACTCGGCCTTGTGCCACATATATGTCACGTGAGGGGTGTTAAATATTAACAGTGATATACACTGTTCTACTGAGGCTGTCCGCAGCTCCTGTCGAACTCTCTGTCTTGGTCAGAGACGTATCCAAACGAGGCTGTACCGAGGGGCAGTGTCTCGTCCGGGGAGGTAGACAGATCCGAACCCGTTTATGCGAGTTCTACGGGGATTTTTGGCCGAGCCTACAGCTTCGGATCACCAACGTTAAACTCGGCCTTGTGCCACATATTCCTTGTGGGGGTGCTGTTAAATATTAACAGTGATATAGACTGAACAATGGTCAACCGACACACACTCCCAAGTCGTGTATCACTCTTCTGTTATATTTACTGTTCAATGCACTATTTATCTGCAACCTCTTGTTTTGTTATTCCTTGGTCACAACAGACTACAGTTGCCATATTTGGTCTGGGGCTCCTGCTGTAGATCTAGAGATTCTTGACAAAATCCAAAGAAGACACTGTAATGTCGTCGATCCTGATCAAGCACGTTGTCTTAAATCACCCTCTCGCCAATGTGGCATGGCTTCCCTCTGTCTTTTCTAATAAATATTTTCATAGCAACAGCTATAATGACCTTTATTTACTGGTGCGACGGAGTGATGAAAGAAGCATGTCACTAGATAAGCATCTAGGTTCAATCTTTTACTGTTGAAATAGCTAAATGAAACCGTCACCTCAGTGAACCTCTTCTGCCTGCCACTAACATGGATGATGCGAATCTCCAGGCGAGCAACACTCATCTTGGCCTCACATTTTCCACTGATATAAAATGTGGCGACTAAATTCGAATCAATTACTACTTCTGTTACAAGGAAAGTTGGTTCCAGGATATTTTTCTCGTCAAGATCCATCTTGCACATTTATAAATCTAGCATTTGTCCGTGCATTGAAGACTGTTGCCATATCTGGTCGGTTGTGCATCTAGAAATTTTTTGACAAAATCCAAAGAAGGATCTGTAATGTAATCGATGCTGATCAGGCATCTCGACTTTAGTCACTTGCTCACCGACTTTTCTACAAATATTTTCATGGCAACTACCCTAACGAGATTGGTGCCCCGAATACAGGAATTTAAATGTGATACTAGATTGGCAACTAGGTCCCACTGTTTTACTTTTGAAATAAGTAAATATAATTGTCACTTCTACTCTAACACTTTCTTTTCTCGCACTTGTCACTCGTAGAACTTGCTTCTAAATTCTTGTCTCCCTGATAACTATAATCTTCCAAAAACGTTATGCAATGTCAACCGCTATCTTCTGTCTTCTTGAACCCCGTTCATCTTTTGTTCTTTCTTCACTCCTCCCTATATAGTCTTCTCGTTCTCTTTCAATTTCACTACCTGCACCCCCCTTCTTACAAGTGGCTTTACTGTCTTGCTGGAAGTGAAATTTGAAAAAGAAAAAAAAACAATTACCCATAGCTGGGGGAGAAGAGTTGGACTCACACCTTTCCCAAGTATATATTCGCGCAAAGAAATATAACGAACCCGGTGGAATTGGAACCCGCCTCTCCGCTTTTCAATTCCGAGCAGTTATGCATTAAATCACCCGCACACCCAAGGTCCCGATGTTCCCAAGCAGTCACCCATTGAAAAAGGGGAGGGCAGTAACTAAACTAAGCTTACTAATTAAGAAGTAGACGAAAAAATCCTCAAAAAGGCCATCGTTTACTTGCTTCCCTGATAATTATAATCTTTAAAAATTTAAATGCAATGTCAATCGCAATTTTCTTTCTTCTTAATTCCTGTTCATCTTTTGTCCTTTTCTTAATCGTCCCAACACAGGGTCTTCTCTTTTACTTTCTGTAAGCCATGCCTACTAGTTGCATTCCTGTCTTGCTTGGGGTGATATGACTGTTAAAAAGGGCAATTAGATGCTGAGACAGAGAAAGAGAAGACTTATCACAGTTTTCTGCACTCTCCATGGCCCATATTAGGCATTATTTTATCTGTAATATACTATCACTTTAGGGCAACGGATGTAAGGACAAGTAATTCCAAAAATGAATCGTGCCTGAAAAAAGTTACCAGTTCTCCTATGTGTCATGCCCTATCAGGATATTGCCGATCATGGCTCTGCGCTGTTTTCTCTTGCTTGTTTTGCTTTCAATATGTGTTGTGTGTGTCAAATTTTCTATGCCCTCTTTCCTCATTATATACCCTAGAAATTTCAGCTCTCGCTTACGGATCTATATCTTTGTCTGTCGTGCGCATCAAATGTGTTGCGGGGCCGAGTAGGATGTCGCCCCCGCAAGGTTTTTATGTACGATAAATGTGAACAGCCAAGACAATGACAGGACAAAGGCAAAGGTTTTTGTTATGAACAAAAGTGTCGAATTTATTAACACGTTTACATCGGTGTTGGGTCCGGTATGACTGGTTGATCGGCGAATGTAGCTTGGTTTGGTCGAATATAGTTGATCTGGTCCGGTAGTTTAGGATTGGTCGGCGAACGTAGCTGGTTCGGTCGAATGTAGCTGGTTCGGTCGAATATAGTTGGTCTGGTCCGGTAGTTTAGGGTTGGTCGGCGAACGTAGCTGGTTCGGTCGAATAGCGAAGACGGAGTCCCTAAACAGTGCCAAGGCAGAACAGCAATACGACTCCACAGGGCGGATCGACCGCGGAGACGGGATCGCGCCAAAGTGTATCACCAGGCGAAGCTGGACGGTGTCGTAAACAGGGCGGAGGCAGAACAGGATCGCGCCGACTTCACAGGGCGGAACTGGGAGAGAGGGATCGCGCCAAGGGCGGATCACCAGGCGAAGGCCGGAGTCCCTAAACAGGGCGAAGCTGCAGCACAGTGATACGACTCCACAGGGCGGATCGACCGCGGAAACGGGATCGCGCCAGAGTGTATCACTAGGCGAAGCAGGTCAGAGAGGTGTTACACCTTCCAGGGCGGATCGACCGTGGAGATGGATCGCGCCGAAGAGTAACACTCGACAAAAGCACCGGAAGTTCACAAAGGCAGCGTACTACACTTTGATGTATTTATTGTATCGAAAAATACAATTGTGGCACAAGGCCTGAAAAGGGGAGGGGTTGAGGCTGGTCTTCACTGACTATCCTATACCTAGCTAATCCGATTCACGACCCATTCACTCATTACAATTTGCCCACTCACCACAAGAACTCATCCATCACCAAACAATCCTCCTTACACCATAATACCACATCCTCACAAGGGGGGACCTACAAAACGCGCCCCATGCAATTAAAAATTTAATGATAATTGTATATATATAAAAATCTCGTGATGAGGGATGAGAGGGGAGGGAGATGAACCCAATAATAAACTGAAAATATAAACATAAGTCAAATTGAACATAACTGATGTTAGTAGGGCCCGTCCAACCCTCAAATACAAAGAGGCCGCTGTATTCTGCCCATGGGACAAAATCAAGAAGCTCTCTCACTAAGGGTGTGGGGAACGGATAAGAAAAATCGTACGGGCATGGGAGAATATAACGCTGACCCAGACGAGATAAAAAGGGGGGACCAAAAACAAACTGGGGAGGTTGGGAATCTCAAACTGGATCATAACCAAAGAAGTGGCCAGGAACAGGCCGGGAAGCACATTTACTCACATTAACTAGGTACACCAAAGCTTGTCTAACCTAACCAGGGGGAGGGCTCCTCAGGAAACCAACCCCGATGTGACGTAGGCTTGACCTAAAAAGAGAAAATCAAGGCTAGCCCCGTTCAAACGAACCAAGCTCGCCTCTTTCACCCACCTTTCGCTGAAGACTGTCGAATGCAATCGTTTTCTATCAGTTCTAATCTTCATCTTGAGCTGATGCTCAAAGAATCGGGCCAGATCCTGATGAGAAAGACGGTTGCCTCGCAAGACTTCCTCCTGTCGCGTCGTCCAAATCACCATTCGAGCCGTGGCTAGCAGCGTGAGAAACACCATCCGTTTCACCCCAGAATACGGGGGCGACACATTGTCACACGCGTATGCGCGATCAATGGGCACAAGCCGTTTCGGGAGCGAGACGAGCCGTCAGCTCGCCGACACGGTCCCATAGGGGGACTGACCTGGGGACAATGGTAGAAGGCGTGCGAAGCCGTTTCTTTTAAACCAAGGCCACACCGTTCACAGTCTGGCAAATCCGATCTCCACCCAAACCCCATATGAAGACCTTGTCATTGAGAGGCAGCCGATTCCGAGCCAATCGCCATGGGAAGCGAAAACTCAGGGTTGCTGAGATAATCCGCCGCTGGCGCCCAAGACCAGTAAGAGCGAAACTCCTCCTCCGACAAGTCGAGATGACCGGCGGCTCACGTAGGGGATCCTTCGCTGGAGGTCCCCCTCCACTATGCGGACAGGAAACGATAGAAGACCTTCCTAGGCCGAGAAAGGTCACTGAACCAAGGGACAGCCTTCAAGGCCGACCGACACTCGCGAAAGAAAACCGATTGAACCCGGGGTTTACGACGGCGATCCACCCGCGAGCTTGGGGGACTGATGGTAAGGCGAGGGAAGGCGGCCCTCACAATCCCCTCAATAATCGGATCTCCACCTGTCAACGCGCGGCGTAGGAAAGCCAACGTCGAGGCAAGTTTGTGACGGCTCAGCAAGTGTGGCATTCAAACAGCCCAGCGCCCCCCATGACACGGACGTTGTATCGGTCGCGGCACAGACGTTCTCTGTCGACCAGATTCAGCCCGTCGCGTCCCTCCATAAGATGGAGGATAGCGAGCGCTCGAGCGGCTTATGCATGGCCGAAAACAGAGAGGAAGTACGGACAATCGATAAAGGACAAGAGGGAAAATGTATGTAGACAGTCACACGATGGTCCGCCCTGCCCTTCACGGACAATTGTTCCGTCGACGCCAAGTCTGACCGGTGGCGTTGACCTCATTTGCTCGTACACTCAGACCAATTCTTCTTCAGCTGGAGGTCGGGTCCAAACCACACTCCGAGAATGCGGACAGGACCGTCCGTCCAACCGAAGTAACTTTTTCTCACTCCCACTTTCTCACCATACTCTTAGGGCCCCGGAAGATCGACCCCTTCCAGGCACCTACCCGCAAGCCGGACGACTTGTCGCGGTTAATCTTGGCCCCTGTCACATTTTTGTACCGATCAAGCGCCTTCAGTACCGCATCAATGTCGCTGCGGGACGACACGAAAGCAGATACGTCATCGGCGTACGCAGAAACCCTGGCTCGAGCTCCTCCAGGAACGGCGATTCCGCGTAGGGCCGGACTGCACGCCCTGTCCCTCAGCCGGCGAAGGAGAGGCTCCAACGCCAAAGCGTAAAGTATTACGGGCGACAGCGGGCAACCCTGACGAACCGACCATATCTAAGACAGCACAAAGGCGCCCGACAGCTTTCTTTTCCCGTTCACCTGTACCACAGCACTGGGGGAGCGATACAGGAGGCTAATCCAGCGGCAGAAGTCGGGTGCGAATCCGGCGGCCTGCAGGACAGTAGCAAGGTAGCGATGGTCAACCCTATCAAATGCTTTTTATTTTTGGACTGATCCAAATTGATCAGCGCGGCTCTCTCGTCGTCTTTTACTCCCTCTATGATCGTGCGGATCAAATGCAGGTTGCTCTGAATTGTTCGACCCCTCACAGCGCAGGTCTGCTCGGGACCCAACAGAGACTCGGCAACTGACTGCAAGCGCTCCTGCAGGATCTTGGCCAAAATCTTTAACTCTGTGTTTAGCAGAGTTATGGGCCTGTAGTCGTCTAGTTTCCCCCCAACACCCTTGCCCTTTTTCAACAGCGTGATCACACCCCTGGAGAACCGGTCGGGGAGGGACCCCTGCCGGAACCAGTTGTTGAAGACGACCGTCAAAATCGGGACAAAGATATGCGACAGCCTCAAGTACACTTCATAGGGCAGACCATCCAGACCGGGCGACTTGCCTCTGCCGACCTTCTTCAAAGCCGCGTAGACCTCGCCCTCGGTAATCTCTCCCTCGCAGCTAGCCGCTTCAGTCGGCGAAAGCCGAGGAAAGTCAGCCAAATAGCTGCGAAACTCGTCCTCACGAAGACCAGGCTCCTTGGTAAAGCGGCTCTCGAAATGCCGCCGAAACGCCTCGCACATGTCGTCAGTGGCCCGAAGGGTACGCCCCTCCGGGGTTTTGACTTCACGAATGTAACGATCGCCACCTCGACGGACCTCTTCCCTGCGCAAATCTGCGCCCATATTCACGGCTTCGGAAGACATCTTGCTTAACCTATGTCTAATTACCTGGCCCATGTAGCGCTCGCTATTCAAACGCTCCAGGGCCTCCTTAGCTACGGCTATCTCTAGGGGATCCCCCCCAGCCACCGCCCGGGAATAACTAGCTTTAAGTGTCCTCACCTTATCAGCTCTATCTAGGGCGAGCCGTTTGCTGAAATCAGTGGTGAAGGACCTAATTCTACATTTAAGTCTGTCCCACCACCTATTCCCGATAACCGCCCCCACTAGCTCCCGCTGCACTAAGCTAGTCAGCTGCTCCCGGAAGTCCCGCCTGTCCAGTAAAGACAGATTGAACTTCCAGTAACCAGCCATTCTAGGCCTATGTTCTAACGCCACACGGGCACAAACGAGTTTGTGGTCCGTATAGCCTACCCAGTGGAACGTGGGACAATCTAACAGATCTATGTCGGCCCTTCTCACTAACATTCTGTCAAGGTAGCTAACTACCTTGTCACAAGGCCAGCTACGAGCCCACGTCCACATTTTCCCCCCGGGGTGATCGACCCGGTATCTATCAACGAGACCGAAATCTTTGATCAGATCGACCAGGCTACGATCGCCCCTTCTCCCGCTAGCACCCCGCCCCCGATCTATCTTGGGGTCCAGGATGGCATTCCAGTCCCCCATTAGAACTAAAGCGCTTGAATCCACCAGGAAAGGCTCCAACCGCCGAAAAAACGAAACCCGCTCCTCCTGGTCGTTGGGCGCATAAACCGCAACGACCCGAAACGAACCACTTTTCACGGCAATATCGGCCACGATCAACCGTCCCTCGGCATCGGTATGCACAAGGTCCACCTTCGCATCTAGAGTCCGCTTCACCAGCAAAGACACTCCTCTGGCAGTTCGGTCCCCATATGCTGAATAGACGACAAAGTCGTTAGATAGCACACACGCATCGGAACTGCAAACAAAGTGGGTCTCTTCGATCGCGGCAACATCCACGCCGAACGACAGGAGATCCCGGAGCAGGCGGGCCGCCTTATCCCGATCCCTCAAGCCATTCACATTCAACGTCGCTATCTTGACAGACATGGTTTAGGCCTGCAAAAAGAAAGAAAAGAAAACATGCAAAAAGCCTATTCACATACCGGGCGGAAATCTGCGTTGGTAAGGACCCCGACGGATTGTCCCAGGTTTCCGGTTCCTAATTCGGTCGTCATACGACCGTCCAGGACAATCCCGCCAACGTCCGTGGGGTAAGGTTAATTTTAACGCCCTATATAAGAGAGGGATGGAGCAAAACGGGGACCCTCCCAGCACAAAAATGCCTCAGTTTTTTAAGGGTGGAATTGTCCGTTTCAACTATACGGATGTCGGGGAAGGCTTCCTTCGCCTCAAAGATATGGTTCCACACCTTCAGATACGCCCCTTCTCCCTCACGCAGGTTATCACCCTGGGGCCTGTGGGAAGTTTCTGGGTGTCCTCTATACTTTTTCCGTCGACAGCGTCCATCTTTAAATAGACCCCCTAAATGGCCCTTTGCTTTGACAGGCCCCATTTAAAGTCGTTTCTGTCGACTTTGCATATAGACTCGGGGCCTGCAAACATTTTCTTTTTTTTTTTTTCTCTCAGG